TTTACCTGTACGATGAGGATGCCGAGGATGAGAGCTTTGCGCAGGTGTGGCGTTACCAACACCATTTTGATTTCTTTCATTAGCGGTAGACCCTTGTCACCTTCTGCTTCTTTCAACATATCGTCGAGGATTGCTTCATTATTTGCATTATCACCTCAACTGATCATAATTTTCAAATTGTATGCTAAATGTAAATCATCGAAAGATCAAGTCCAAAAAAGATATTCGATGAGCCTCACGTCTGTTTCATCGTTTTCCAATTAAACGCTATTTTCAAACATTTGACGGATTGAATGAATGGTCAAGATTCTCGAGTGTATGAGTTAGTGTAGTTATTGATCAAATAGATAGATCAATGAAAAGTGATCTTGGGTAATCACGCCTCACCTCTGTAGTAAATGAGTGATTCAAGTGCGGCACTTCGATTATCCTTGTTGAGCAATAAGAATTTCGGTGTTTCATACAGTGGCAACGTTATCAGCAGTGCCAGAACAACTGGTGCTAAACCAATACCTGGAATCAATTTCGGGTAGCTTCGCTCAATTAACTTGGAAAGTAGTTTAGAACTTCTACAAACATTTTTACATTATTTTCACGTCTCCGCTTATCANTTACCTATTAGAAGTGGTAAATTTCGTCCGAACACAGCGTCCATACCGAAACCTACACCGGTAAGGCTGATCGCCAGAAATATGGTCTCAGATAGAAATGAGGTCAATCCACGCAGTTTTGTTGGCGTTGTTTCCTGAAATTCAGTTCATAGTAAAACGCCTCCGAAACAATAAAATATGGAGCAGAGCGTGTTCAGGGTTTCCATTGCGAACACTTGAGAAGGTCAAAAATGAAAGTCGCTCAAAAATATTGCGATGGATCAGAAGGTTGATTGGATTTATTTACCTGAAGGAATAGAATAAGAGTGCCGAAACTCATGCCAGATCCAAGCGATGATACTGCACGACCCACAAGTAGTAGTTCGGGTACCGGTACCTCTACGGCGACGATCGATATGACAACACCAAGTGAGCCGAGACTATTGGCGATTATCAGCGTTACTGAACATTCAATCTGATTTCATTATCGAAAGAACATCACTGGGTGATAATCATGACTGGAAGTGGTGGTGGAATTTAGATTGAAGGAACAAAATTTCTGAATCAGAAGTTGGTCAACGATTCCGTGTTCATTGGTCAAAGATTCCGTCGACATGAAACAGTTTTAATTGGGAATGAAAAATGATTTTTGCACTGGAATGAAACTTCTTACTTTTTCGACCATAATTATCGGTAACGTAAGGTGTTACGAAGACGCCAAGTAAATAACCAAGATACCAAACATTCAAAATCGCACTCCAAATCCACGTGAACGCATTGGTCGAAAGACCTTGAAAATATGTTAGTCTCACTGTTTAATGCCGACAGAAGCAAACTCGTTTCATGAAATGACTGACTGTCGTTATTTTCTTGAGCAAATTCGATGCAATCATACTTGATATTCTTGCCGCCACTACGGATAGTTTGATTGCCTCTTCAGTTTGATAGCACAAACAATATATCTTTTGGTAACAAGTTTCTGGATCATCTGTTTCTGATCGTTGATTCATTTGGATGAGAAGCTGAGACTCAACTAAACTTGATCTCCTCTCTGAGCCTATGGCTAAGTCTAAGCTGAACTCTGATCTACTGGACAGTCAAAGCTTCAAAAATAAAGATCAAATGATCACAGCTGTATGTGTTCAAGATTCGTATCAAGAAAACAAACCGCTCGGATCTCCTCGTTGGATATAACTGTCGTTAATGTATTTTTCGAACGTTCGAATGGACGTATTCGGATAAGCATTCGAGTACGATTCCTGCAATTAGTATAAAGCGTTTGATAAATTAGTGAACATCGACTGCCGTCGCAATCTAATCCTAAAACTCTCGATTGATCATCGACAAACACAAATGGATATGGACGAGCAGAATTGTGAAAACGAAATCTGATGCTGTAGAATGGTTGTCGAAGCAAATGATGAAATTCTGCGCGATGCGTTTAACTTTGAAATGCGTTTAACTTCGAACAACCTGACCTGCTAGCTGATTAAACTATCGTAAAATCTCGATCAAGCAATGGCGTTTTGCTGCTGNTTTAAGCAGTGTCACCTAATCTTATGTTCAAGACGTTTTCAAAGCAGCTGAATGTGCGCAACGGTGATCGACTATACTCGAGCGTCACACAAAGTAAACTTTAAGGTAATGTGATCGATTCAGGCCGAACGCGATTCATTCATTTCAACTCATTCAACTCAATATCAATAGAATGACGATACTCTGAATTGAGCAATTCAATACAAAACCTGAAAATTTGTGCATACACTGAGTACGATACACAACACAACGATTTTTATCGCAGAACCGTTAGGTGCAAGCATTTCAGCTGGAGAATTGAATCACTCTGAAATATTTTAAGTGAGTTTGAATCTATATAATAATAACTATATCTAAAAAATATCCACACAGGAAATGATTAGTTTTACTTTCATGGAATTTTTCATCTATTTTCATAGCAGAAATTTTTGAGAAATTTTTCAAAATTGATCGAAATTACACTTCTAACCTGTAGAGCAATTATCTTTTTTGAACAGAGTTCGAATTGTTCGATCAATATGATGTTTTGCTTTCAATTAGTTTAAACTGGCCAAAGGTTATCTTGTTCGGCTATAAAATAAGTATATGGTGGATGGTTAAACTTTTCGAATGGTGCACCCATTATTTCGATGCAAAAATTAATGAGAATTCAAGAAAGCGCAATAGTTATCGCGAATCAATTTTCAATTCGAAATTCACAACCACAATTCGAAGATATTCTCGAACGCTGAAACTGACAGAAATAAAATTTCTAACAATAAGTTACTCAGTTTCACAGAGTCGTTTGAGAATTATGCCTTAACAAATGAAGTGATCAACAATGATGTGGCATAGCGAAGGTTCCATGAAGTCAGTTGAATATCACAACAATGACGAATTCGAAAAAAAAGGTTGAAAAAATGCATGAACAGGTTTCATTTTTGTTCCATTTCGATGGATCATTAATTATTTGATGTCACTGATACATTGTACATTGTTCCTAGCCCACATTCTCGTAACTATCCATTGATTCATGATCTGATAAATCAACGAAAACAAATTTTATAGCGTTGAGTCAGTTTTCCAGAAATGGAAAATGTCATCCAACTCAAAGCGAATGTATAGAAACGGGAACGAGGACCACACAAATGTGGAGAACACTAATGATTTGGAGTGATATTCAGTGGTGAGAGGCTTAGAATCGTAATGATTATTGTTATTACTGCTTACATAAATAAATAAACAGGCAGAAGTAAACAGAATGAATTTAACGACTCATAAATTTGATTGATTAAAACTGATTAAAGATAAGGATTGAAGACAATGATAACAGGAAGTAAAACATCAATAATAGCATTAACAATGTTTGTAACTTTCAAATACGATAGGGGTATTCGTTTGATGGGGGAATAATTCAAACTTCCGCTACCACAGAAAGAAATCAATCACGCTTCCGGAGTATATTCATTCACGTCATGAAGATATTCATGTTTTTTAAGTGTGTCATGACGTTAACGCACAAAAATTTATTTTTTATGACGATTCAATGATGGTAATAGTAAATGAATCAGTAAATGTAATAAACAATCACATTAGCTGAGTGTTAAAGTTTGATTATGTTTCGAGATTATGCACCGATGGTTTGTAGCGAGAGTGTGGATTATGCAAGTACGCAATCCCGAACGACAGACGATTGATAAGTTATAATCAATTAATCCATCGATTTGATGATCAATTGATTCGATTCGAAAGTGGTTCACTTTCATTGTTGCTGTCGAGGATATAATCACGAAACATTGTGACGTGATGTTGAGGAAATTTATTGTCTAATTGTTTCATGATCGGCATCATTGAGGATGCTTTTACAGTTCGAAGCAATCGACATCTATTCCATACAAATCACATTTTATGCAATTATTATAGATAGAGCTAGAATGCATAACTTAATCCACTCATAGCGATTTGGCTTATTGTTAGTTGTGCCTAAATAGTTTGAATAAAATGTTTTATTCGAATTAATAAATAGTATTGCATTGGTTTTCACGACAAATTACGGATGAAATTCGATTGAATTACGAGTAAAATACGATCAAAACACGAGCAAAACGGTCACCAATGCATATTCAAATATTGATGCAGCCTGTATCATCAGTCAGACTGGAAGCCTAGTTGATGAATTCTTGTTTTGAGAATAAGTGAGATTAATGCATCGATTTGATGATCAATTGATTCGATTTGAAAGTGGTTCACTTTCAAAATTGTTGCTGTCGAGGATATAATCACGAAACGTTGTGACGTGATGTTGAGGAAATTTATTGTCTAGTTGGTTTACGTGCGCATGTAGAAGGACAATGACAAAATGGCTAATTGATGAACGTTTCAATGATTAAGAACACGATTATGTTATCAGATGCTATCAAGGGATTATGTCTAATTAAAGTATTTTAGCAATGTGATCACTGATTATTGAGTTTTGATGGGGTACTTTCTAATGACAATCAAACAATAGTAATAGCAAACAAAAGCACAAGCCATGAGAGAAACGTTTTGCATTAAAAATCACAACGTTTCGTTCACTTATAATCAAACAGTAGTTTGCTGATTGTGAATAGATTGCTTTATTGTTTTGTTTTTTTGAATATTGGTGACAGGTTTAGTCGTTATTAAATTGATTTATTAGGAAGTTTATCAGAACTACACACAACTAGATCATGCAAATCAAATTCTCGAATACACGATAAGATTCATTGATTCAAGATTCATTGATTGATTCGAATAATGATTCATTTATTGTTATGATTGTTAACGACAGACTGGAAGCCTAAATGATGTGAATCATCATGAGAAGAAATGAGATTGTTCCATCGATGTGCTAATCAACTGGTTCGATTTGAACGGCTAATAATATCGATTGAACGGACGGCTGTGGAAACCTGTTGAAATGCATTGAGTGTGTTTATGACATTTCACATGATCTTCAGTGTTGATTTTTTTCGCATGATCTTCATTATTGATTTTCGATCACCATCGAGTGATCTTTCGTTCGGTTAGCCTCTGGTGAAATCGTGTGTCCACCAGCCAGTTCACGAACAATTTCATGAATTTCGCGACCTTTTGTTTCAGGTAAGTTGAAGAACACATAGGTGAGAGCCATTAGAGATGGTATGATGAAGAGTGGTACCATACTCCAAACGTTGATCCATCTGTAGAGCGGAAGCGTGGAGAAACTGAAAACAAAACGCTCTCTGATTCAATTTCCGTGCAGTTTATCAATTCCATTCAAGCACTCCGCTCTCATGAAATGTGACACACTTAAGAAATAAAATTCGTTAGTAATGATTAAGAGAGTTTGTCAATTTAACAGTCGTTGTTACCTTAACATGCACACAACACCATTAAGTAATCGATCACGAATTCGAGAAATCAATTGATTATGAAAAAAGTTTAAGGTGATTTATAAAAGGGAGAGAATGAAACTTATCGTGATTGACACTGAAATGGTATTTAAATGTTTGAGAAGTCAAAGTGAACGTGGGTATTTTCGTAGATATTTCGTCAAAATTAGAAAAATCAGAAAAATGAAAGACGATCACCTAAAAGTGAAGATGAAAATAGCGTTTACCGAGAAGACCATCGCTTGCACGGCTGATCGAAAATGCTGTGGTACCAATTCGCTGGTTATGAAAAATGCTATCGGTCCAAGCGCCGAGCTGAAATGATTTTGTGGTATCTTGATTTCAGAAATGAACCATCATTAGAGATACATTCGCCGACTTTTTGGAAGAATTTTGACTGCAATTTTAACCGAGACGTTTTTTGACCAAGCGGGTTATCAGTCTATCATTGTGATCAATTCACTGATCGAATATTATAACAATTCGCATCATCGTTACCATCACTATTATCCTCATACTTGACATTTTAATTCTCTCGTTTAACTGACTTTCCTATCGCTCGTTTCATCATTAATTTATTGGATTTGACACGGTTAGAGAACTGTTCAGTGAGCAAAATGTGCTTATTGCTAGTCAAATTTGAAGGTGCAATTAAGTATCGAATAAGGAAGGATCTCGGTCAGGATGTGTGCAAGCCGTGTGCATCAATGAAGCAGCACTTCAGATGACGTACCCATAAGTGATGCCGTATCCGAGCAGCGATATCACGCATCCATATCGAAATTGCGTGTTCACGTTGATCGCCAGTCGATCGAAAACACAGTATGAACTCAAAAAGAAAACGTTCAGAAAGCCGAAGAAGAGCAACATCGGTCGTCGCCCGAAACGATCCACGGCAAGTAAGCCGAATATACTCGAAACGAAATTGCACGATGCGAACACGAATGAAAACAACTGCAAATACGCCGATTGCAAAACCAATTGCAAGATCTCATTTGAATTTTCGTTTTTTTTGCTTTGAAATTCCTGACAATTCGAATTTTTCGCCTCACTTGAAAACAATTCACTAAACATGTCGCAGTGAAATAATGACATCTTATCTATCGCTTCAACTCAAATTTCCAGAATTTTGTCTCAAACGTGAAACTTAACAATGGACTTTGACTCATTCAAGCCATTTTCTGATCTTCGGAACGTGTACTCTCCAAGTGGGCTTGAGAGTACACGTTCAAAAGATCAGAAACCTTTTTTTTTTGACTTTTTTTCTGTATTCGACGAATGAAAGAAGGTGTTGTTCCTTGTTATGGTGCTGACATTATAGGATGAAAAACAAATTCTCAGCAAATAATTATTCGACGAACTTGTGCCATTTCAAGTGAGAAATGTGCTCTGAGAAATGTCGTTGACACATAACTTATTGGTACGATTGTCAGCATTACCTGAAAAAGTGAGTGTCATTTCCAAATAGTTTTATGAGTCTTTTCAGATCGTTTCATAGGTCTTTTATGGGTTGTATGGGTCTTTATGAGTCTTTTTAGAAAAAAGACGACTGTTGCATTTAGAACTTGCGACTGTTTGAGTTTGCATTTTTACTCTCACAGAAACCATCATAAAGATGCCCGCATCATAGTGATGTTTCTTTCGCAGTTGAACTGTCCTACTCCTGTTTCTGTTCTATTCCGAGGAAAGAACAGAACAACGGTTCTTACAAATAAGGGACCCTGCCAAAAGAACAGTTAAAAAGTGGAACGGAATAGAACAGTTTGCCAAAAGTGTGCAATAGAAACATCACTACTTCA